GGGGGGGGGGGGTAGCAACAGTAAAGCTAGCCCCCCGAGGGGAGCTGTCCAGGGTCTTTTATAGGGGAAAGGAGTTAAGGGGTGGCGGGCCAGTGTCACTGGAGGTGGTCTGTTCTATTCTTCCTGGTTGCGTCATGGGGGCATGCTCAGTAGGCAGTGGTGTTCATCATTGTCACCCCAGGAGGGTCATCGTAGCAGTCACCTGGATGCTTTGTGCACAGGTGGGAATTCCTAAAGGGGTCTTAAAGTTAATCTGTACCTTTTACAATTATGGTAAACAAGCCTTGGGGAGGGGTTTTGCAAAGCAGTAAATTTCTGTTTCCTTTCTTATCTCAGTCTATTTTGTCAGGGCAGCCCGTGGGATAATCATTTGCCCTGGGGGTCTCATGACTGAAGAGTGGAAAAGTAACAAAGTGTCCTCTGCAGGGAGAATGGAGTCAGTTTGGTTCACAGGCCTAGCCTTACGCTGTTTCATGACATCCTCACCTACTTAGCCTCTTGGGGTAAAGCATTTGAAGCTCCTGTTGCAGAAGCTGCTAAGCCAAAAGTTAAAAAAAACAAAATTATTTTAGCCCTGGGACCTTTCAAATAAAATTTCATGCGAGTGACCCAATACACACAACAGACAACAGCAAGGTTGCTGGAGTCAAAGGGAGTCAAAAGCTCTCTCCCACACTCCACATCTACTCGACCACCACCCTTTTGGTAGACAGCTACTTTGGAACACATGGAGACTTTAAAAAAATACGAATCTTGAAAGGCATAAAAATAACCCATATTAACATAATTTATAAAAGTTTTATAAAGTTTTCTTAAGAAGGAAAAACCTTTCTCTTCAATTCTACAATCCTATTCCCCATAAGGAAGCACTGTTAATTATTTAGAATAAATTCTTTTCTACTTTTTAAAATGTTTGCACAGACATAGCTACGTATGAATGTATATATGCATTTTTTTTTGAAAATATAATCATGTTGAACATATTCATCTACAACTGAATTTTTTTCACTTAATAATGTATCCTAGACATCTTTCCAATTCACTACCTTATTCTTTAAATGACTGCATTGTATTCCATAATAGGATTATGTCAAAATTGATTTAACTATTTCCCCTATTGATGGACATTTAGGTTGCTTCTGACTTTCCTTTGTTATGTATCACCCTGCAGTGTTCATTCTTGTGCATATATCTTGTGCCTGGGATTATTTTTAGAGAAGAGATCCCTAGCAGTGGGAACGCTGGGTCCTGGGGTATGTGCATTTTAAATGTTAATAGAGGGCCAGCCCGTGGCTCACTCAGGAGAGTGTGGTGCTGATAACACCAAGGCCACGGGTTTGGATCCCATATAGGGATGGCCAGTTCGCTCACTGGCTGAGCGTGGTGCTGACAACACCAAGTCAAGGGTTAAGATCCCCTTACCCATCATCTTTTGAAAAAAAAAAAAATGTTAATTGACATTGCCAGATTACCCTCCAAAATAGCTGCATGGGTTTACATTTCCTACAAGCAGTGTTTGAGCCTCTGATTTCGCCTGAGGCTGTGAAACCACATTGTGTCACTGTCTGACAGATTGCTCAGAACAGCGACTTCCACTGAGGGCATGAGTGATAGGGACATGGAGCTCTGAAGGAAAAGAGGAATCAGGGAACGTTGGGTCCCCAGCGACTATCCAGAAGAGCAGGGTCGTGTGTACAGAAGGAGGGAAGACCCACAGAGGACAGGGTGTAGGAAGGGAAAGGTGACAGCAGGAACAAGTTTCACAGTGGCATTAGTTTGCTGGACGTGCCTGCGTGACGTGAGGACAAGTGAGATGTCCCCATTCTGTTTTCTGGGAACAGCAGGCCATGTGTTTTGGCAGTGGTTTTTCTTTTTTCTTCCTCCCAAAACAAAGCAGTGATTTCTATTTGGTGGTTTTGCTAGTGGACAAAGGGTTCTCTTTGGAAATCTGCCAGCTGTCGTGTTGCTATCACCAGATAAATGTGTAGCTTAGGGCAAGGGTGAGTTGGGGCTGGCAACTACGTGTGCCAGATTTCCTGCACCAGCCCTGATTTGAAATATCCTGCTCCCCTGTGAATTGGTGTGTTCTGATCACAATCAGTGTCTGATATGTGAAGGGGGGGACTTTATCCGGCACCCCCCCAACCCCCTTCCATAACCAACCCTTCCCCTGCTCCAGCAACTGTGTCCAGTAGGGCCTGGCTACTTCCTGCGCTCTGTGAGGCAGTTATGAGTCGGGACTAATGAGGCTTTCTGACCAGCTCGAGAAAGTCCTTTTCATTGGCATTCAGCTTCTTGTCTTTTCCTCTCCTGTTTGTGCTCAGAAACTAAAAGATTGCACTGCACAAATTAGCCCAGGGCTATGTGAAGCCCCAGCAAATTCCACTTCTCGCACCCCATCCTCCATGTCAACTCTTGAAGTTCAAGGTTTTGTAAAATTTAATGTGCATGAAGTGGCTCACAATGATTCATCTGCCACCTTAGCCAAGTAGGTTTTCTTAGAGGAGATTTGCTTTTTGTCTTTTTAACCATTATAAAATACATTTGGATAATCAGTAGAATCCCGGTTAAATGAATTAGGGTACATTATATAGCTATTAAGAAGAGTAAGGCATCTCTAACATACTCAAATAGAGCAATCCCCAAGATGTACCAAGTGGAAAAAACACAAGGTGCCAGATAGTGAATGTTTCGCATACCATCTGTGTATGTAAAAAAGTATGAAAGCGGAGAGGAGTCTTTCTTTTTCCTCTCTACCCTTTCAGATGTTTCAAATTCTGTATTCTTGGGCATGTATTACCTATGAACAAAAAATGAAATTCAAAACAACTTTCAAAAATAAAACTAAAATTAAAATTAAAATCCCCACATAAAAATAAAGGACAGGGGATAGGACAGGGTAAGCTTTAAACAGAAACATGTAATTTTGCTTCATTAGGACACACGGTGTTTTGTCTTTTGATCTGCAGGCCTGCAGCTGATGGTGTCCAATGAGAGTTTTATCTTTGACAACATCACCATCTCCCTGACATGGCTTCTCTCCCCCTATATCGGAAACCTGTCCTGTATAATTAGTACGGGAGATGGCCACATTTTTGATCCCTACTACCCTCCCAGGTAAGAGGAATCTTGGAGCCTTGAGTTGAGTTGTATTGGTTGGTTTTTGCTGCATAACAAATCTCCCCAAAACTTAGTGGCTTAAAACAGTGGTTATTGTCTCATGGTTCTTTGGAGAGCTGGGTGGCTTTTCTTGTCTGGGCCAGCTCAGCTGGGGCTGGCTGGCCTAGGAAGGACTCGTCATTCTCATGTCCATGGTCAGCTAGGTGCACATGATTTTCATCACCCAATAGGCTAGCCTACCATTGAGTGAGGCCTGATGTGCCAGCATTTTTCAAACCTCTATTTGTGTCACATTTTCTAATATCCCCTTGGCCAAAGCAAGTTCCATAGTGAAGCCCAGATTCAAGAGGTAGAGAAATAGACTACACCTGCTGATAAGAGGAGCATGGAGCCACCCTGCCAAGGGGCATGCATACAGGGATGGGAGGAATGATTGCTGCTGTACTTGCAAACACTCTGCCACAGAGGCTACATGGAAAGTTGTGAGAAAAGTCCTGGGTCCTTTTGGCCTGGCTCTTTGTAGAATCTCAGTTCAGCTGGGTTGCTCTCCCAGGAGGTGGGAATGGGGTGAAGATGATAGTCATCTTGGTGTGGGAGACATTTTTATTGGTGAGGACAATAAAAATAATGGTAGCAATACAAGTATTAATACTAGTCCAGCTAAGTAGCATGCACACATGATCCCATTTAATCCTCACAACAACCCTGAGTGCTGCAACTGTGCTGTCCAATTAGCAGCCACTAGCCTCATGAGCTACTGAGCACTTGAAGCTTTGCCTCCCATGGATTTGTCACCCCTTTTCCCCTGGGTGATGGAGCCACCAAAGATTACTCAAAGCCCATCTTTTTTGAACAGTGAGAAGCCCTGAAAAGGGGTTAATCTCCCGGAACCCTCATGATGGAGGCATTCCTTCCATTTGGGAAATTAACCACAAATTGGGGTTCTCTTCCTGCATTTAATCTCCAGACCAGGAAGTTACAGGAAGAGAACATAGGTGGGGTTTTTGCTAAGTATAGTTTAACAAGTTTAACAATAGAAGCTGGTAACACTCAGTAAGAAAAGCAAGGTGACATTCTATAATGCAGTTAAGTCAATCCACTAACCAAAGTTTGATTTTAGCAAACATTCTCTTCTTACAGCAATTTCCCAGTATCTTAACATATCAATCAGTAACCTGTCTGTCTTTGAGCCAGCAACCTTGCT